GGCCCATCCCCACCCTCTCCTGTTTTGTTACTGCATCGCCTGTCTCATTGCTCTTTTCCTCATGCCTGTAACTGCTCATTTACTAATAGATTCCATTCTGTGCCTATGGAGTTTTTTCATCCTCCCTGTCTTCAAGCACCAAATCATTAACTCCATTGCCATGGAAAGGAGTGAATCCCCAGGCCACTACAGAACAGGTTTCTCACTCCCGAGGCTGAAGAGGAGGAGAATAGTGGCTGAGCTTAAGGGATGTTCATGGCAGGTTGTTGGCTCACAGTGAACAAGCTTATTATTGCTAGCAGCCTACTGGCATATGTTCCTCTAACCGTGAGTATTTCCCATAACCCTGGCAGCTTCTTGACAAGAATAATCAGACTAGGTGAGCGGTATAATATATTCTATTAACAGTGCAGAGAACAGAACAAACAAACAAAAAGCTCTGGGACCTTTGCCTTGCCTTACCACATTCATACCCAAGGTATGTCAGGAGTTTTCACCTTTGGTTCCTATTTGTATTTAATAATTGCTGAGATGCTCATTTCTTGATTTCCGAATGAAGAGTGTAAATTAGATGTAACACCATATTAATTGGATAGAGTGTAGCATAACTACAGCAACCAACTACATTTTTGTTGTCACTGTGATACACACCAAAGTAACTCCACAATTCACAATCAAGGAGAGGGGGAAACACTCCAAAATAAAATAAAAAATAAAAAAAAAAAGCAACCCAAAACATTTTCACTTGAAAAATGCAGTAAGTTGTTACCTGTGACATCTGAATACAAGTTTCAATTGCACAGGCTGAGAAATAGGTCAGGATAACAAAGAGATATGGTAATGATCAGTCTTCATCAACTACTAGGACTGTGACCAGAAGCCGATGCCTGAGCCATTTCAAAGGCTGGGATGTAAAACCTGCCTGTCTCATTTTCTGCCCAGCAGACATCTTGCTTTTGTGGGGTGAGCTTTTTTAAAATCCTATTTTGGATCTGGTAGTTGGAAGACAGAAAGCAAACCACTAATACTTTGTCCAGAACGACTCCTCAAAGTCTTGGGAGGGCAGGAAGCGGCCTGGCATCCTATTTCCTTGCTTCAGCAGAAAATAAGAAAGGTTGTGAATACTGCAGGTTTTTGACAGTAACACCAGTGCCAATCAGGTCTGTTTCTGCTAGAAGATGTGGCACAAACAGTTGTTGACTCTCTGTAATGTTCATAATCTCTGTCTTTTAAAAATAAATACATAAATTGGCAGTGGCACCTTGCAGCTGGTTATATGGAATACTGTGCTGGACAATGTACCGGTGACAGGTTGCCAAAAGTACTGTATCAGCACAGCAGCAGCTTTCAGGTTAAAGTTGTTCCCATCCAGTGAAGCCAGCTATTTGCAAATACCAATCACAGAGTTTTACAGTTAAACAATCTGGTTTAGAAGTATATAAAGTACTTAACTTGACAGTAGAGGTCAGTGATAAAGCTGGTGGGGATTTCTCTTACTAAACTTTCTTCCAGTTGAAACCACTCCCTTGTATCCCAAAATACTTTAAATAATCCAACAGACTACTATTTGCTCCCCAAAATTTAACATTTATTTTTCCCAATTTCAGGAAAAAAAAGTCAAGTTCTCAAATTGGAAAATCTCAAATTTCACAGACAGATCTTGAGAAGCCACTGTAGACAAATTTCTTTATTTCCTGAAAGAATCCCTGTTCAGTATTGCTGAGACCAAACCACTATTTACAAGTGTAAGACAACACTGCCAAGGCAGTGTTTTTAGTTACGAATGTAGGTTGTCACAGTGTATGCAAGTCCTGTTTTAAACCTCTTTGTTGCTCACGGCTAAGCCTATGCTCTCCCCAGTGGCTAGATTTACGCTCCCCATCCCCGTGTGTGCTGCAGGATTTGCACTATACCACTGTACCTCAATCATGAGCATTTCCAAAATAGCATCCAAATACAGGTGAACTTACCCATCATCACTATATTAACTACGTGGGGAGAAACCAACATGCTTACGTTTTCTGTTGAGAATTCTCCCCAAAATTCCCATTTGCTCCCTTATCTCTAGAAACCCAAAGCTAAGGGATCAGATCACACAGTTCAGCGAGCTTGCAAACAAATGCAACATTCACCAGTTACAGCCAGTTAGACTAAAACTTGATATGATTCAGATTTAGGGAGATGTATATATCAAGCGGAGAGTTTCCTTTTAGGCCCTATTAGTCCCTTCCAATGGGAGTTTCTTTATAAAGAGGAATTGTTCTTCAATATAGTTCAATGCACTTTGCCAGAGTTTGGCCTTTTGCTTAATTTACTTTGCGCACATGGCTAACTGAATGAGTGATTTGAACGGTCTTCTATGTGATGACTTAGACTTGTGTAAGCATCTGGGTATGAGTGAGGGGCACCGTGCGGTCACTGCAGCAGTGAAAGAATGGCTGCCATTAATTGCTTGAAATTCATAATTCAGGAGAGTTCTGGGCTTTTAACACGACAAAAGAGAAATGGATCTGGAAATGGAAAAAAGGTTTCTTTACATCTTCACAAACACTAAAAGAACAAACCCATAGTCTGCCAGGGAAAAAACAGGACAAAACCCAAATATGCTGAATTCATTTTCCCCAGTACATTTCTGGGGTAACTTTCTTCACTACGTTTAAAAAGATGACTGAGTAAAAATTATAGGCCTCAGTAAGAAAGTCAGCTAAATAAAACCAACCAAACAAACCAGTTCTGGTTAACTACACCTTATTTACTTTGGTTTTGCAAGTCTCCACAGCCGCAAGTCACTTCGACAGTATAGAAATACCAGTGCACACAATACCTTCATCACAGTGAAATCATGATGTTTTGACAGATGTAATAATAAGAATTGCCACAAGGGAACTTCATAGTAGTAACATCTATGAAGTGCTGATTTAGCTGTACTCAGAAAACAAAATTAGTTGATGTAGTGGAAAAAGCTTGACACCTTCCTTGTATTACAGGTCCCACCCATGCTGGTGTCTGTAGAACTGCCCTGTTACCAAACCTAGCACCTGGCTGTGCTAGCATTCCTCCTCAAGTGTACCTATAGATGCAACCAGAAAAGAGAGATATTGGGAAGATATGGATACAGTGGAAAGAGGGTTTTTTATGTTTAAAGCCAGTAGAGTAAGAGGCTTTCCTCAGCTGTACTCTAGAGACAGAATGGGAACAGAATAGGATTTCAGGAATTCTTGCTCTAAGATCAAGACTTAGTTACATCAGACATGCCAGTACTACAGCTGAACAGAAACTTACTGAGAGCTTTTGTTTATTAGAAAACAGGAATTCATTAAAATAACAACTGTTTCTGTGAAAGGGTTGACTTAATAAACTTACACTTTCAAGGTAAACCTATCAAAAAGGATTCGAAAAGTGTTGCTATACTTTTTGGAGGAACTCTGAATGGGTTTCAATCCAAAATAACATTTCTGGTTTTAAAAGTAAGTCAAATTATTTATATATTATAATTTTGAAATCATAACTAAATGTTTCTCCTGATCTGACACAATATTCCAACTTCAGATTTAATTTGTTTGAAAAACAATCTTACAGAAAAACTCTTTTGCTATGGGAAAATAATTTCTCATTCAGCTCTACCTACTATCTACAACCAGTTTATTGCAACCAGTAACAGGAAGAATAGCCAGTGTTACTGGACGGTAGCACTTCTACTGTTTCTCTGGAGTTGCCTCTCGGTGCCCTCACGATTTGTTTATGTGTGTATAAGGTAGGAGGATGTGACCACATTGCTCTGCAGAGGCAGGGGCAGCCTCAGCCTGCACAGCAGGGACTGCACCAGGTAGCAACAATGGTGAAAAAGAAAGTTAAAAACACCTCAGGTTTCCTTTTCTCTCCCAGCAGTAAATGTGCTAACTGACTTCAGAGCTCCTGCTCATGCACTCGGTTTCATTAATGAGCTATGGAAAGTCAAGAGGCACGATTCCCTTAAAATCGTGGCAAACTGCAGGAATATTTGGCTCCTGCCAGATCCTGTGGGCACTTGGGGAGTGGTCCATTCACTCCTCCACCACCACAAGCCTTCTCTCCCCTAAGTGTCCATCTTTCTTTCTACATGAACATATACCAGTGCTTGATCCTATGGGATTACTGTGTTGCCAAAATTCTGCACCATGGTTTCACTGCAGGAGAAAAATACACTCATCTATGATTCCAGAAGCCATGACAAGGTTCTAGGATTGACAATCAGCTCCAAATAGCTCAAAATACACAGCCTGGGAAAAGACTCAGCAAAAAAAAGATATGCTGACCATGTTGAAAACTGTTGAAATTTAGGTTTGCAAACTGAGTGCAGCATACAATTCTGACCAAACTTCTTAGGGACTGGAATCAAACATCAATAACAACTACTATATTATGGCACATCTTGAAAAGTTACCAGGCTATATAGGATATAGCTTGGTTATATAAAGAAACAAATCAACTCCAGAATGGATATGGGGTAAGTGCTAGGATAGAACTCTACATAAGCAGTAATTAGCTCCTGCTTTTAGTTATGTCTGCTACAGAAAATGTCTTTATGGTGCGATACTGTGATACTGTTTCTGTCACGGAAAAGGAGAAAACATAAGGACAAAGTGTGAGCTTTGAAGAAATTACCTAATGATGGTCATTAGCCAGAATTGCACATTCTACACTGTGGGGCATGTCTACAGAACACAACATAATGCTGTGCAAATAACCTAGCTGATTCTGGTATTAAAAGCTTATATGCGGCAGCCTGCCTGATGAGATCAGCCTGGCTATTCAACTGCACAGGACAGAGTGATACTACTGCCCTGTATTCAAGCTAGCTCAGAATAAACTTCAAGTTTTGGTTCGTATCCCAATGCTGCAGCAAATTCAGTCTTTGTGTTGGTGTTTTGAAAATCTATTTTTTAGTTCCAAGATACCTTTTATACAAGAGTTAACAGATACGGCTACAGACATTCGTCAGCCTTTAATGCCATTAACGGAGGTATGGGTTTGCTATACTCAGTATCCCACTTTGTAGTAAATAGTGTTTTGTTTCATTAAATCGCATGATTCAGTCTAAACTGTACTGAATAATGATGTTAAAACCTTAAGACTGGTTTACTGTTTTCTTAATGCTTGTTTGTTTTCTTTAATACAGATGCACCACAGATGAATAATGTCATGCCAACATCTCCCCTCCTTCCTCAGATGGCACATCAACATTCATATCCCAGCCTGGGACAGATCACAAACCCATATGAGCAACAGCCCCCAGGCAAAGAGCTTAACAAGTACGCCTCTCTAAAAGCAGTTGGTAAGTAAGCAACATGATGCATGACTTCTCCTTCACAGCAGCATGTTGTATTTGCTGTTGTCAGCTGACATTCTGCTTCAAAGTGAAAAACGTCTTGCTCATCTGGACTACTTCATGACAGAATTCCATATAGAATACCATGTTAGTTAGAAGTGTAAGAAAATGACATGTAAGTATTGGTGATCACATGCAGGTACTTAGAAATGCATCCAGAACACCTCCATACCTACTGTACACCATTCATCAGCAAGTTTCACCTGGTACATGCACAGTGTTCAGCCCGAGTTCTTTATGCCCTGAATATATTCAGTATGTATTTTCTATACCTATCTCAACAAATGAGAGAGAAAAACATCAGATGTGTTGCAAATGTAAAGCATATAATTTAGACACCTGCTAAATATTTCCCAAAAGAAAAGATACTTGTATGCTTGTGAAGTAAGAGCTTTCCCATTTTTTGCAAGATGTGCATTAGTAGGTCACTGGAGGAATATTCTGAGGCCGAATGATTTCAAACAATTAGTTTATCAGAAAGCTCCTAAGAAAGATCACAGTGGTGGCTATTTCCTGAGAGTGATTAATATCATACTATGATTTTAAACAAAGAGGCGAAGCTGCTCAAAGAAGGAGTTGTGGGGAGGGAAAAGGACAATAGTGGGGACAGATTTCAACATAATTTTCCTAAGCATAGCATAAGCATAATTTGGTAATACTTTTCAGGGGCTGTAAATACCTGCTCCCACCATATGAAGACAGAAAACCTTTATCACCTTACATTTCAGGCCCCTTTTAGGCAACACGAAATTACGAACTGGGGGGGTGTATTCATAGCTTCTCACTAACCCTTGCTCAGCTTACACATATGGATGTTAACATCATTCCCCCTGAATTTAGAGCAGTATCACACTGCCTATTTCCAGACGGAGCTATTTAGCTCAGAAAAACCACAGAATAGCTGAGAACATTCTGACTTAGGAATCTAGTATTCATCATGCCAGAAAAAAATTCCATCACAAGCTGACATTCCCTTATCTGAACTTCAGGATAGCAGACCTCTAACAAAATGTATGTTGAAGCCCCATCTCAAATAGTTTGGCATTGCTTTATCTTGCTGGTTTTGATTGTTGCAAGTGGCATTTTTAAATCTTTCTGTAAAAGACGAGGGTTAATAGCTTTCTGCTGAATTCTGAGTTCAGACAGAGTAGCTTTATAATTCCTTCAAAAGGTGATACTGTGTAATGATGTGGTGATTGTCACAGATTTATGCACTGATACCAGCCTACTTTTTCAGATGTCAATTTAGGTCAAGCCAATCATCAAAGATAGAAGGTACTTAAGCATAATAAAATGAGAGAGGAAACACTTAAAAGAACCTTCTCTCATCTGCCCAAGAGCCACTGAATGTACTTGGTTTTTTAAAATTATTAAATTAGAATGTAGATATATCTTGGGTGTCTGAGTACAAGTTTTTAAAGCAGCTAGATTGTAACCATACAGTTAAATCAACCTTGAAAGATTGTGCACTTCAACTCCAGAAGTTGTGTAAAACCTCTCAGAATCTTAAACTAAATTAAACATAACTTGCAGGGACATTTTCTTCCAGGAAGATTGTACCATCCCCATGCTTTCCCCCTATCCTTCCTTTCTGCTCCCTCCCCTGTCCCTTCCCCTCTCCTCTCCCCCCCACCCCGACGTAGCTTTCAGCAGAAAACAATAGAGATTTTGAAACTGCGATACATTCATCCATTCTGCCTGGAGCAACAGTTAAATATGCTCAGTTTATAACCACTTTTAGACTCTCAAGGCCACAATTCCTCCTAAGAGATACTTCTTGGGTACATCCCAAGATCATAAAGAGGTTTTTACATAATGCCAGCCAGGTCTGGTTTTGTCACCATGCTGGCATCAAACTACCCAGACTGCACATTGCAGAGTTCAGACTGGCTTTATGAGACTTGTGAGAGAAAACAGCAACCAGCCTACATCAGGCCTACCAATACAGATTTAACCCAACAACATCTTTTGAACAAACAGACATAGACTGAGTTCACCTTAGCCTGGTATTCATGTCACAGGGCAATGGCATTTTTCAGATGCTAACTTTGAGTCGCATTTACTCATCCCCACAGCAGGTTAATGAGTGTGTGTAGTCCATTTCCCTTTGCATTCATTGGTAGTGGCTTGAGGATGGATCCATTTGTCACAACAGAAATGTAATAAAAGATGTGTTCTATATTCCTCCATGTGTTTGAAACAGATCATACGCATTTAAGTGCCTCTTACACTGCATGATTCCATTGTTTGGGCGTAGTCCACTTAATTCTCTTCTTTAAGGGGAAGGAAGGAGTGGAGGAGAAAACATTCCTATTGCTTTGTAGCAACTGTAGGTATAGTACATTAATATCACTCATTATAATGTGGCCATGAGTGGCAAGAAGTTTAGATAACTGAAAAAAGGGATGCTTTACCAGAGGCAGTATTAAATTAACTTCCACACAGCTGCTTTCTTCTGGACTACAGATGTCCTAAAAATTTGGCTGTCTAATTTTAGAAGTGAGCTACTCATCCCTCAGTGACTGGCTGCTGCGAAAATTCAGTTCATAGAAATGAAGCGAATCACAGTGATCTTGATCATGTTCAGGATCTGCATTAAATTCAGTACCTACAACTCAAGCACTTGTGGAAACAAGAGACACAATGCCATTGCTATTAATTTGCATTTGCACTGAAGGAGAACGACCAATACCTTGGTACTGAGGCCAAGTTGATCCCTAGGAAGCTATTTTAAAGCTACACCCTAGACTCCAAATCATAAAGCTGAGCAGAGCACAATTTGAAGAAGGACTGTTCATGCATGTCTGCAATGCAGTGCGTGCATTGAGAGTGTCTGATTCAGACCAGGGCAGAAGAGAGTTAAAATGGCCAATGTGGTTTTATTTTATTTAAAAAGCAAAGTATTTTTATGTGAACCAGTTCAAATTGCACAGGAAAACCCTTACTCAGTGGAAGAGGATATTTTCCTCATTACTTGTTAGGAATTTCTTTATTTGTTGCAGCCTTCAGAATTCCTTAAGCACTGACCAGCGGCTACTGACCAAATTCACCTTTTCCTCTTACTGTCTGCTGGCATTTATATCTCTGAATGATTTGAGGACATTCTGTGCCTAACTTACATTCTCACACAAGTGCTTGGAGTACAAACAAGGTAATAGTGAGGTGAGATTTACTTACTGTTTTCCTCACTGCACCGGAATTTCATTTTCCTTACACATACCTTAACATACACACCACCAAGGAATAAGCAGCAGAAGGTAGAGGACCCGTTGGAAATGAGTCACAGCAATACATACTTCCCAAAAGAATAGATAAGCAGCCAATCCATCTCCTAGTATCTCTAGCCTGTGTGACTAAGTGCACTCTGTTCATCCATTATTTGTCTATTTTTTGAGCCAGAGAATCTTTTTCAACAGTGCCAAATTTGTCCCACCAAAGAATGTGCTTTTGGAGTATTTGATTATTTATGTGAAAAGTGCAAAAAGAGGTTTTTCTGCATAAATTATTCTTATTTCCAGTTCATCAACCATGTTTTTACTCCATGCTTAAATGGTTATTGCTCACTTAAGCAATCCTGACATGCCTAAAGCTACAAGTGGATGGAGATCTTACATGTGAACACCTTCATGAAATTCAAGTCCCAGGACATACAAAGGTAGCTCATCACAAATTTTTATACACATCATTTCGACACACTCAGAAAGCATGAACAATTCCACTTCAAGTTCCACTCTGCTAAGCTGTAAGAATTGGAGTCCATCCTGTTGCTTAGTAAGAGTTTTCTAGAGCTCAAATGTGCCTCACTATACTGCAATATTAGCTGTATTTATATAGGGCAATTGTTCTGCAAGCCTGGCTCAGTAACAGTTCATTTTCTTTCCCGAGTTTCAAGGAGTGCAAGGTGACCAGTGTTCTTCAGAGCCTTGTTCAAAAATTAATAAAATACCCCAAACCCAACTTCCTAAAGCTGCCAGAGAGGTATTCAAGACATACATGTGCATACTGAGAATACAAATATTTCTACAGTTTAACATAATTATATTTTATATTTCTTTCATAAATTTTCTTCTTCTCTTCTCCCTCCACACACAAAACTTTAGAGAACTGACTGGGCAGGACTTAAGAAGAGATAACTCAGCCAGTTTACTGAAACTAAGACCCAGAAAGCCTTCAGTAATACTGGTAGCCTCCTGTGGGATGAAATCAGATCTAATTGGTTGGATATAGCAAAGCTAGAAGGTGGCAGCAGACTCACCATCACACAGGTGAGCCTACAGCTCCCAGCATTTCTTGAAGCTTCCCAGTTCTTTGATCCCAAAGGAAATGTTAGACAGTGCTCCAGCTCTGCTTGCAGCTGCAAAACTCCAAAGTGAGATTCTGCAAATCTGACATTCAAAGAATAAATATCTCCTCCTTAGGTCACTGTTTCTATGTAGAAAATATTGTGGCCACAAGTGCCACATGGCCACATGTCCCTCCAAAAGGTGAAGCATGTGAGAAAACGGTTTGATTTGTCCTTCACATGTACATACACAGAAGGATACAAAGGGGAAGATCACCATAAGGTTAACTCTAAGGTATTTTCTTTGAATCATCCTCCTGTCTGATGAGAAATTTGGTAGCGCCTTCTCTTAAGCTTCAGATCTTCTTTTTTCTGTAGAAATGAGTGTAACTCTATGCTGATGCAAAATCTGTCTCATGAGAATAGAAGTGACTTCACACCTGCCCCTAAAAATATGATACCTGTCTCACCAGGAGATTCTGCACTGTTCCCTATTGTGCTCTGAGCTGGGAAGAAATACTGTAGTTGGAAAAATGGAAACACCCACCAGGGAAAAAGGACTGCCGTTCCACTCACAGGGGTTGAAATAGTCCACTGTTAGAAAAAAACCCTACAGAACTACTGGACATAGTATGATTGTGTTATTTTACTTTCCTATACCAAT